TCCTCTGGCAAAACCTTCAACCATCATTCTTTCCCTTCAAACCCATATTATCATAGCATACAAAATATTTATCTTCCTTCACAATGAAACCCATTCTACTGTAACAGATATTTTTCTTTTCCACTGGAAGTTACAGAAAAACTTAAAAATATCTTTCCACCATGATGCACACAAACGACATAGAACTCAAATAGGAATTCTATTTTGGCTGATCTTTGGAATATGGTAACAGGTAATTTGGCGACATTTTGGAGGCGATAAAGGTTACTACCTAGGACTTTGGGCAATAATGTGAGAAGTACTCAGTTCCGATAACGCATTATTTTGTGTGAGAGAAATGAGAGATCATGAGATATGTCATGTGACATTAATGGACGAATCACCGTTCTTTAATCGGAAAAAGGGGTATATTTGTAAAAATATCTGCTGTACTTTATAGCAGTAGTTTCATTCTATGTTCTGTGAAACAGTGTTGTTTAATATTTGGAGCCCATGGCCGTATATAAAGTAAATCTGAAATCTTTATTGCGTTTATGTGTAATTGAAAAGAATTGCTTAATTGTGGATAAGTATGAACGTCTAATATGTGGGAATGAAATGAGATCGTGTGAAAGGAAGGATATTACAGATAGTTTGAATGGCGGTGTAAGAAACTTTGTGAAAATGGACATTTTGTGATCCGCCATGCACTCAAGATTCTGTAGAAGATTAGGTAAGTTAGTATTTTTAATTATTTGAAGATATTATTTTTATGCATTGTTCTAAATGTAAGGAGTAAATAAATTAATATGGTATTATTGGAAAATTGTTATTAGCAATGATTTAGTTTAAAGTAATTAGGATTATAAGCTAATTTTATTAATTAATGTATGTGCTTATTATATTTTAAGTAGTGTTTTTTTTAATTTAATTATAGTTTTAATTTAATGATCGTGATTTTGAGAGTTATATGTTTGTAGTATTTTGGAATACGTTTAAGTAGAAGTAAATGTGCATGGAAAGAATTTAAGTATTTGACACTAAGTATTTGTAATCATTTTTAATGTTTTGTTATAAATTCGTTGGTGACATTTATAATAGATAATTTAGAGGTAAAAGTTTTTGGATATTTTATTTATTTTATACATGCAAATGTCCATCCTTGGAAAGGGTATATAATTTTTCGCGATCAGGTAACTTCATATATGTCCTTTTTACCGAATTTAAAGATTCACAAAATTTTCATGCATTTTCGTGAAATTTTTTAATTTATGAGAAAAAAGCAGTGTACATGGATATAGTGAAGAGTGTGCGCAATGCCATTTTTGTGCAATTCTGGGATTTTTTTTTAAGTAAAAATAAGTCGACGTGTACATGGTTTAATTATATTTTAATTAAATGATAGCTATTTTGTGAATTATATGTTTGTAGCAATTTGGTATACGTTTGAGTGGAAGTAAACGTGCATGGAAATAATTTAAATATTTGACACTAAGTATTTGTAACCATTTTTAATGTTTTGTTATGAATTCGTTGGTGACGTTTATAATAGATAATTTAGAGGTAAAAGTTTTTGGATATTTTATTTATATTATATGTGGAAATGTTCATCCTTGGATAGGGTATATACTTTTTCGCAATCAGGTAATTTCATATATGTGCTTTTTACCGAGTTTAAAGATTCGCAAAATTTTCCTGCATTTTCGTGCAAATTTTTGTAATTTATGACAAAATAGCAGTGTAGATGGATAAAGTCAAGAGTGTGCGCAATGCCATTTTTGTGCAATTCTGGGATTTTTTTTAAGTAATATTAAGTCGACGTGTACATGGTTACTGTGTATGTGCGATTTTGAAAAACGCGGCAAGGAGTTTGCGATTCTGCACTTTTTCCCAATTTTGCATTTAATATTTGTCATGATTAAGCAGTTTTTGTTCCATAAAATTTCTAGCATAAGTGTAATTCGGCTAGTAGATTGTTGGAAAAAGTGTTCAGTAAATAAAAAGAAAAGAAACATGTCTTTACTTCGTGAAGACAAAATGGCGGCGAAAAAAAAATAGAGGGTTGCTGTAGCAGAGTTGGTCGCCAAATTTTCGCCAAGTTACCATAATCCAAAGATCAACCTCTATTTTTACCATTTAAAAATATAGAATTTTAAAATTAACAAATAACATTCAAAAACAGGTAACACATGACCAAGAGAGAAATGGGAAAGTGCAGAATCACCCACTGCTCGGTGCAATTTCAGGAATTGCACAAACTTGGTATCCATGTACACATCAACCTATTTTCACTTAAAGAAACATCAGAGAATTGCACAAATTCGGCACTGCCTTGACTTTGCCCATGTACACATCCATGTATTTTCACTTAAAAAGTCAAAGGAAATTGACAAAATCCAATTCTTCTTACTCTTTGTAAAAAGTGCTAAATGTAACACGCGATTCTGCACTTCACCCAAGAGAAATATTGTACAATGCTATTAATTCCATGGTTATTGAAAAAAAAATAAGGTTTCTTAAATAAAATTATTACCTAACAAAGAAATCACCACATTAAGCAAACCCCTCATACTTAGTTTTAGCTAAAATTTTAGTCAGGAAAATAGAATTATTTTGTTATCATTTTAAAAACCTCTACATCATATAAATAGCATTTTTTGTTAGGAATAAAACATATTACACCAATAAAAATTCTCGAAAATATTATAACATACTACTTTATCAATGGACCATGTACATCATGAAAGATCAACAATTAACTCATAGAGTTAACACACAAAAAATTACACAAAGAATTTGCAAATGCTTTAAAATATCAAAACTTACTTCCTGCTTCCCAGCGTCTTTCATGTATAGCAATTACACCTATGTTCTTCCTTCAGGGAAACTAAAATACATTTTCCCCAAAATTCTCCAACACAATAAAGGTATAAATTTTTGGACTCACCATGGATAGGCAAGACTCTTTTAGTATATTGTACGAGCTTTCAATTAAACTTATAGGTTTCCCTATCAATGAATCCTTAAAAGTGGTAATCATTAACAATCAAGATGATAATGATAATCCTTCAAATAAGCAAACGGTTCCCAATAATCAATATACTTTGTGCTTGGAAAAATATCAGTAAAACCCGAATACATAAAAATATCCATTATACTCAAAATTGTTTTAACATATTTATACAACTTTCCTTATACTCAGCTTTATATAATACTCATTTATATCAGATTTCTTCAAAATGTCATTTAAATTTATTTTCAGTCCTACCTTCCATTCAATTTGATATCGATCTTACAATTCAGATGTTTACATATACTTGCATCCACTTCCACATTTCTATACTAACCAAACGTTTTTCCATAAATAAATATTATGAAAAGATACATGGAAATGACTTTACCAAGAGTCAATGTGGAATCTTCCACATGAAGAAAGATACATCAGCAAGAATAAAAAGAGATACAAACAATAGTATAAGATATAACAGCAAAATTATAAAGCATTTTATTGCAAATTTTCCCAGTTAGAACTAAGTATTATTCATCTGCAAATATTTCATGACAGATGAAACACCCACAAAAACTGAAATCAACAGCTATTTCAAAATTCCTACTAGCAAAATTAAACAAATTTTCACCAACCTCTTCCAGACAAATATAGACTGAAGGGTACCCCTTGTATTATCACAAAGTTGTCGTTTCATTTATGGTAACCTGAGTAGTTGAATGTTCCATAATTATACTTTTACCTAGAATTGGGTGCTCCTTCGATATTTTAAGTGAAAATATATCGATGAATACATGGACAAAGTCAAGAGAGTGCGCAATGCAAGTTTGTGCAATTCTCCGATGTTTTTTAAGTGAAAATAAGTTGACGTGTACATGGATAAAGTCAAGGGAGTGCACAATGCCTAGTTTGAACACTTCTGCAATTTTTTTTAAGTGAAAATAGGTCAATGTGTACATGAATATCGAGTTTGTGCAATTTTTTGACTTGTTATTTTGTCTTTGTGTAGCGACGATGTTTGGCACTAAAATCACCACTACACAAAGCCAAAACAACAAGTCAAAGAATAGCACAAACTTGGTATTCATGTACCGCCAAAAATCGGCGATTTTCGCCAAGGGATACCCGTAAATATACTTTTACCTCAAAGACTAGTTGAAATAATTTATTTACTTTGAACGATTCACCTAAATAACTCTTTTAAAGTTTATTTAACACTGTTTCTGATGAAAAAATGAAAGTTTGTTACATCACCACCATATTATCTTATAATTCATTAGAAATGAAGGATTTCTCTCAACCTAAAAAAAAAAAATTCTAACATTCATAAATACAAGATCACCGTCTATTTTACAATTACTTCTACAAAAGTAAAAAAAAAAAAAAAAACATGCAAATAATTACTAGAGGTTTAAACAACACAAATCAGTGATAATTTTTTATAACTTTCAGTACTAATTTCGAGAGTTCTGTAATCAAACCATCAAAACTAGTATTGCAAATTTATAAAAATTATGGGTAAAGTGCAGAATCGCCCACTGCTTGGCATGTTTTTAAGAATTGCACTAACTCGGTATCCATGTACACATCAACCTATTTTCACTTAAAGAAACATCCCAGAATTGCACAAAAATGACATTGCGCACTCCCTTGACTTTATCCATGTACACATTGACCTATTTTCACTTAAAAAGTCAAAGAAAATTGACAAAAATCCAATTCTTGTTACTCATGTAAAAAGCGCCAAACAAATAAGTGTGCGATTCTGCACTTCACCCAAAATTACAATTAATTGTTACTTGAACTCTCTAATAATTACTTTCACTGTTACACATACTTTGGATAACTATTTTTTGAGTATACACAATATAATACCATACTGACTGCAGGAAAAAAAAAAAAAAAAGAATCATGAATAAATAAAAAATAAGACTTACTATTTGAATTATTTTCAAGCCAAAATGGCTTAAAAAATCCTGTAGATGACAATAATTAAAATGATCTACTCGGCAAATCCATGCAAATCAGAATTTTTATTTATGAACAAGTTTTTATAATAGAAATTTATCTTAGGTTATTAACAGAACAAATTTATAAAAGCCAGAGATACTTTTGTAATAACTAATTTAACAAATTCTATTAATTTGAAGAATTTATTTAGAATAACATAGCATATTATTCTTTATATAGAGCCAATATTTTTAACACTTATTATTATTATTATTATATATAGAGCCAATATTTTTAACACTCAAAGGACATTAAGTACTGCCAATAAAACATGTTAAAAAGGGTTTTTTACATAACATCCAACTTACTTAGGGACATTTATAATAAAGCTTCAGACCTGCACTGCTAACATCAATAATATGACAGTAATAACAACATCAATAATACACCATAATCAGTTTTTAACATTTAAAAAACTTCTCCACTCCAAGTTGCACTCAGGAATAATCAAACAAAAAATAAACTTTATTCCAGTGCGACTTTATATCACAGAACACATAAACAGTAAAATTTTCCGAGATGTATACACATCTTGCATTATTATGGCACAATATAATTCTTACAATACAAATGATTATATTCATTTAAAAACAGGAATGAGCAATTCAACACTGAAAACGAAAGCACTCCTCACAAAATGTAACAGCATAGTATGAGCATTTAAAATTGCAATTACTTCATCAAAACAAATGTAGCACATTGACAGAACTTTTCTTCACACAACATGTAAAATTGTTTTTAATTTATTCAACAAAATTCAATACTTTCGCTTTTTTTAAATGTGTCCTTCGAATTGACTATAGTATCACATACTTTCATATCTGATTCCTTTTTAATCATGTTTGAGCATTTGCAAATATCTTTCTTTAAATTAACTTCTTTTACTTGATCAACTGTTTCCTCTCTATCTGAAGGTAAATATGTGTTATCAGAACTATCACTCACATTCTTACATTCTGTACATTCACTTTCAAGTTCTGAAGAATGACTAGGACACAGTTCTTCATAACTATTGGGATAGAGTTGCATGTCATCCACACCACAAACCTCTCTTGATAAAAGCTTAGGTTTCAATTTTTTATTGCTTTGCTTTGGAACATAAAAACTTTCATTCCTTCCAAGCATAGAATTGGAAGCATGTGCAACCATTCTTTTCTCATTAGATTTACCAGAGATGGAATTCAATATTTCATTTTTATGGTGGGATAAACTTTTAGCTGAGTTCAAATCTTCAATATGATTACCTAGAGCAGAAGTACTGGGTTCCAAAGATCCCATAAAAAATGGAAACTTAATTTTGTAATTAAACAGCATTGCAATAATAAGAAATAAGAAAATGGTAAGAGGTATTATAGTAAAAATTGACAACCCATCAAATAACTGTCTTGCAGCAGAGTTTATAGAACGAGAAGCTGCACTCAGAGGTTGAAAGAGCATCGCGGCAAAAGCTTCCGATGCAGCAACAGTGAAGCTTACCTCCCAAAATGGATCAACCATTAATGCTTCATAATATTTCTGACAGTCATTGCTATGAAAGTAACTTTTTATATACTCTTGAATATGTCCAATGATACCAAATTCATCCTTTCTACACTGAGATGGTACAGTCATAGATGACAGCTCAGCATGCTTATATGCTAACTTTTGCTTATACAAATGCATCCAGTGCCACATTATGGAAATAAAGACTAGAAACCAAAACAATGTAAGACATGGATGATGTAACAACCACTGCAGAATAACATAAGAAACAATCAAAATAATGCTAATGGAAGCAAACATCCAAATAAATGGTATCAAATAGGTAATAACAGCTAAATACTCTTTTTCTTTTTCACTCGTAATTACAGCTTTTGAAACAAAATCTGAAATGACAGCATCAAGATCTCCAACATCGAAGGTTTTAGACAACAACATTTTTTGCAATCTATCCACAAAATCCTTATTCATTTGGAAAGTAAAATAATTAATTTCAGACTCTGAAGACGCTTCTCTCTCAACTTTGTGAATAAGTTTCTTAATCCATCTGGAAATGTAAATGCTGTCAAGAATACATGTTTCTAGTTTATCACCATCAGAAATTCTCGTGGATTCTTTGAAATTATTTGGAAAAGTGCTACCGTCACTGACAAATTTATTACTGCCAATCACTTCTCCTTTAATATCACTAAACATAGGTTTCATATCATTATCCATATACACCTCATTCTTAACTGGAAGCGAAGTAGAATAAATTTGTTTAAAAGGCGCAACTACGCCTTCTTTCATTTTGGAATCAAAGTTAGCTACATGCCGCTGCTCTGTAGTCACAATTTGATGATCGGGATAATTCAGCATATCATATGGATCTACCCAATGTTCTTTTCCCTTCTCCAAGTCCTTTAAATAGTTTTCAGCAATTTCTCGTCGTCGCTGCATCTCTAAAGCAGAATCAAATACATCTTCTAGAGATTCCCCTTTCCTTTCAAAGGGTGTCTCTTTCTGAGCACTTTTATCATCTATCAATTCTAGCAGACAGCAATAACCAACACAATATATTAAATAAATGCTTAAAAACCATGACGAATATGACACCAGCTTAGACATAACCTTATCCTGTCACTCAGTCGCAAAAACATGCATTTATAACATTTTCAGCAATATACTCGACATATATTATAACCATACATCATTTGCGAGTAACATCAATGTAGTATAGTATATACGCGTTCCCGCTACCATTTGCTGTTATATGTCACGTGACATTTCAGTTTTTGCTAGTTTATTTGTTTGAGGCTTGGCGGTTAGTGCAGTTTCCCGTTCACGATTAGAGTGCGCCATTGCGCCAACTGACGACATAACCCAGAAAGTAAATCTCATATTACTCCCTCCGCTGTTAAACGAGGTAGTAAATTTTTTTTTTTCTGAAAAATGAGTAGAACATTTTGTTGGCTACGGACGTATAAATTCATACGATTACATGCTGTGCATAAGCTTTTCTTATTCTTCTAATCGACCAATTTTTTATAATAATATCGCAGTAATCTCAAATATTGACCAAGCAAATGTTTTTATGTCATATTTGAAAATTCAATTTTCACCTAACAGCCGTCCGTCAGATGATATTTTGAACTAATGCACCTCAGAAAGTACGCGATTGGCTGAACGCGCCAGTTGCACGAAATCTCCTTACACTGGTTTTCTCCTTCGGAAATCACCGAACTCATTAAGAAAATAAAGAAGCGAAAAGCACCACGAAATGACGGAATCCCCAAGTCTGCCATAAAAAATTTTCCCTTCCCCCCCCGAAAAAAAAACAGCACCTTCAAAACTACAAGCATCATGAACGCTTGTCTTTCTACTTCATACTTCCCCACTACTTATGAAACTGCGAAAATCATCATGCTTCCAAGACCTGATAAGAATCACTCCAAGCCTTATGGCTTCAGGCGTATCAGCCTTTTACCAGGTCAAGGCAAAACTTTAAAAAGGCTCACTCTAGTTAGAATGAAACAGTACTCCACTCTTCTCCGTCCCGAAGAGTTAAAAGCCGTTCCCACTTGGGTTTATCCGAGCTAACGAACACATCTAACGTAGTCGACCCATCTCCAAAACCAGTTTTTCCCCATACGGCAGCAAGTTGAAAAATCTTATCTGCAGGCACAGCGGAGCTAGTCGACACATGGAAGTGACTCCGTTAGCTCAGATAAACCCAGTGGGAACGGGGCTTAGAGTTTCGTGAGACACTGTCAACCACGAAACAGCTGCTTAGGGGCCCTAGTCTGGACACCGTCGAGATAGAAGAACGGATCGTTTTTTGCTATCTACTCGACAGAAAGCGAGTCTGGTGTCATTGTCTCGATCATTACAGAGATCGACGCTTCGAAAATTTTTCCGTCAGCTGGACAGCTGCCGTTTAAGTTTCTGACTGTCGTTTTAGAGCTAAACTGAGGACGACGGAGGTCACGTATTGTTTTTGAAAGTGTACGTAATATTACGTAATAGAAAGTGTACGTAATAACTATTTTTTATGCTTTTGGAAATTACGAGAAATATGTTGGTAATGACAGATATATTGGTTATCAGAGATATTTTGGTAATGCAACAAACCCGTTCGCAGTATTCGGACCTCAGACCGAACTACCAGTGTTCAGCGATTTTACCACACGGTCACTGGTGGGATCGACTTAAAAGGGTATAAATAGGAATATGTATTGCAATTTCCTTTCACTGCATATGTTAAAATATATATATGTGTGTGTGTGTGTGCAAGATAATATGTTTTATGATTTAACCTATAGTTATTTAATTTTTTTAAATTTTTCTTACTATTACTTTTGTTAAATATTTGTTATATTTTTACTCACTGCTTATTAGTATCTACGATACATAGTATATTTGTAGCTACGTGATAGGTAGAATTCCTGAATAAATAAAATTATTGATATAATCATGGGTTGCTAAAAATTAAAATTTTTTTTATTCAAATTCATTAGGAATTTTAAACACGCGTACGCGGTGCTATATTTCAATGATTTGACTTATGACGTTGTTGCATAACCTTTTCAGACAAAATAATGTATTTTAATCATAAAATTCCTGTTAACAAATAGTTTACAAACACGTAACCTTTTAGAAAATTTCCATTTTGCAAAAGATCCTACGTAAAATTATGTTTACGTTTCTTCACATACCTGAAGTTTTGAAAAGGCCATTTCTTTCTGCGTTTAAAATATCCATTAACGGTCCCCATTTCTTTTTTCCATTCTCTTTACTAAATCCAGCAGCGTATTTTTAGAAAAATTTCACCATTTACTCGAACTCGATTTTTTTTTCTACCGCCATCCTCAGTAATAAGCACGTGCGAAACAGATCCTTTGACAACAAACTAACCACTTCCTCTGAGCCTGGAGCAATGTAGAGGTGAGATAGACTGGTTGCTATGCAATAAACATCACTTCCGCACGGAATTTCCACTTCACGTTCCGCCGACGGAATTTGAAGGGGCCAGACTCGCTCTTCCTTCTGCTGTCGAGTGGAAACAGAATCCCGACTGGTTTTCCGATATCGATCTCGATCGGTGTCCAGACTAGACCCCTAGGTTCCCCGAAATCTCTGGTGCTTCTCTGCATTCAAAGCTTAATGTAGTGATTCTTATGCTAGATGTAGAGAAAGCTTACGATAGTGTTACCAGAAATTTTTCAACTAACTTAGATACTTAGATACTTATGTGAATTATACTGGGTTTCTACTGCACTGAGGCAGTACTTCCCAGTAGCATGATAGATGTCCCGAAGGAACCTGGCAGTAAGGGTAAATCAAGTGGATCCTGTAGCAGGAAACCTTGAGAAGATGCTAGAGAGGGAGAGAGAGGAGCAATGCGAAATTTCAGCATGTGTCGCCATCTGGTGGCGATGGATGTGGTGACAGAGTCGGGGTTATTTGCAAGAGATGTAAAAATTCATTTTGGTGTATTAGTGCAGTTAAAAGATTTTTTAAGTGACATAAAAATTTTTTATTTTTATATAGGTCCTTTTAATGTGTGGGCCTTTTAATGAAGTTGCGATGGTTTCACAAAACATTCTACGGCAGGGTATCAAACTGCGGATCTCCTACATAGTAGGTACGTGCCTTACCACAGGGCTATGTATTCTGTATGTAAACACATCTGGGAAATGGAGTCTTTTCGTGATTGAAAGGGTGATTTCCTGTGAATAAGGGTGTGGTTAGATGTTTGCGTTGATCATGTTAATGAAGTGTGCAGCGTATGGTCTATTGAAATAATCTTCTTCAAATATTTCGTATGCAAGGATGTTTGAAAAGTTTTCATGGGTGTTTGCCGTAGCTTTTCTAAAGAAATTTGCGTTTAGCCTGTTGATATAATCCTGTATGTATGCGATGTGGAGATCGTGGTGTAGGTTTTTGTTTCTTATGAAGAAGGGTGCTCCAGTAATTAAACGGAGAAATTTATTTTGTACTATTTGTAGTTTTTCGATCTCTGAATTTTTGGCATTCGCCCATACCCGTGAAGCGTACGTGAGCATCGGCTGAATTATTGAAATGAAGATTTTCTTTTTCCTTGAGAGAGTGAGGCCGGAAGGAGTTTGATAGGAGACAGTAGAGCTTTCTGATGATACCAAAAGTTTTTCGCTTGATTTCATTTATGTGGTTCGACCAGGTGAAGGTTCTATTGAAAATAATGCCAATGTATTTAGCTTTATTTACGATGGGGATTTGTTGGCCGAATAGGGAAACTGAGTTGGTGATTCTGTCTGTATGTTTGTACTTTCGTATCAGTAAGATTTCAGATTTTTCAGGGTTTATGTTAATTCTCCATGTGGTGCAGCATGTTTCAACTGTAGACATTTTTTCTTGAAGTTTGACGATGGCCTGGTTTGGGCGGCGGGATCTTTGGATTAGTGCCGTGTCGTCCGCATAACATGCAAGGAGGAAGTTGTGGTCTGTTTTGAAATTAGGGAAATCATGTGCGTAAATTAGATAAAGAACAGGACCAAGGATACGGCCTTTTGCTATGCCTCCTCGGATGGGGAGGGAGTTTGAGGTGTATTGCCTTGCTTGACCTAGAAGGTTCTGTGATCAAGGAAAGATTTTAGGATAAGAATTAGCTCTCGGGGAATTTGTTGTTGTATAAGTTTGTAAATAAGTCCCTCATGCCAAACGCGGTCAAAAGCTTTGGCCACGTCTAGCATGAGGAAGGCGACACTGAGTTTGTTTTTGATAGCAGAGCCAATGAATTCTGTAATTCTGATCAACTGGTGCCGGAAACCATACTGTTCATTCGGTAGAAATCCCAGATACGGTTGGAGTCTTGTTAGGATTAATTTTTCTAAGATCTTCCCAAGTGAAGAGAGCAGACTAATTGGCCTGTAGCTTGTGAGTTTGTCGGGTGGTTTTTTGGGTTTTTGTAAGACAAAGATGTTTGCGTGTTTCCAGATGACGGGGAAGTATGAGTGTGTAAGGCAAGCGTAGTAAATGTCTGCGAGTTTGCATAATACGTTGTTAGGGAAATTTTTCAGAAGATTGTTTGAAATTTGATCTTTCCCTGGAGCTTTTCTGATTTTGGAATGTTTTATGATGTTTTTGATTTCATAGGGGCTTGTCAGTGTGATATGATTTGGGGAAGAGGGGGAGTTTATCCAGCTGTCGTTGTGGGCAGTAGTGTAATGGCTGCCACGATGGTGAGGTTAATGGGCGTGTCGTTTGGAGTGAACTGTTCTGTTCCTGGTTTTGTAAAAGCGGATGCTTTTTCCTGGTTGGTGTATACAAAACCATGTTGTGTTTGGATTGGTGGAGGTTTTGAGATTTCGGATGAAGTTCCAAAAGGATCTTCCAAGTTGAGGTTTTCGATTTTTAAATTCCATTGTTCAGTTCTGTATTTCTTAATTTCATAACTGATTTTTCTGGTGAGGCGGTTAATTTCAGTTTTAATTGAAGGGTCCCATGTGCGGTTGAAGAGCTTGCGGAGTCTCTTGCGTTGGGTAATGATATTACGGATGTTCTGAGGAAGGGTGCCGTAATTACAAGGAAGTAATCTTTTCTGTAGTAGCTTGTTTGATGAAGTTTTGAATTGGTTTCAGTGAAAGCTATGGCTGCAGTTTCAATGTTTTCCTGGAGAATTAAGTCTTCCATATTGTATGGGAGTGGATATTGCAATATTGTGTAGGAGGTCTCAGTCAATAATTTTCTTGATAAAAGCTTCTTTTGGTTTATTGTAGCCTAATTGGG